CTGGACACCGTTACACACTACAGCTCTGCGCACCAGTTTTTTTTTGTAGATAGAGGAGCAAAAAATACTCAAGTAAAAGTACCACATAAAAATCCTGACTGTGAGCGGGGTCGCCTCTCCACAGATCTGGCCTGTAACTTGGTCTGGTGTGGTCTCCATGACGATAGAAAGGTTTAAAATCATACTGTGAAACATTACAAACAAAGCAATAATGTCTCATAGAGAATTTAACTCTTGGTGCCACCGTCGACTTGTTGTTGACAAGTTGACAAGATGCCGCTCTGAATAAAATAATCGATTTTGCAAAATAGGGTGTCGAATTTCATACAAGCTAAACCAGGACTGAACCAGGTCTAAACAAGGTCTAAACCAGGTCTAAACCAGGTCTAAACCAGGTCTGAACCAGGATGAAAACAGGACTAAACTAGGATTAATCCAGGTGTAAACCAGGTCTGAACCAGGACTGAACCAGATCTAAACCAGGCCTAAACCAGGACTGAACCAGGTCTAAACCAGGTCTAAACCAGAACTGAACCAGGTCTAAATCAAGACTGAACCAGGTCTAAACCATTTCTAAACCAGGACCGAATCAGGTCTAAAACAAAACTGAACCAGGTCTAAACCAGGTCTAAACCAGGTCCAAACCAGGTCTGAACCAGGATGAAAACAGGACTAAACTAGGATTAATCCAGGTGTAAACCAGGTCTGAACAGGACTGAACCAGATCTAAACCAGGCCTAAACCAGGACAAAACCAGGACTAAACCAGGTCTAAACCAGGAAACCAGGTCTAAACCAGGACTGAACCAGGTCTAAACCAGGACTAAACCAGGTCTGAACCAGGTCTGAACCAGGTCTAAACCAGAACTGAACCAGGTCTAAATCAAGACTGAACCAGGTCTAAACCAGGACTAAACCAGGACTGAACTAGGTCTAAACCAGGACCGAAAAAGGTCTAAACCAGGTCTAAGCCAGGACTAAACCAGATCTAAACCAGGTTCGAACCAGGTCTGAATCCGTGTGTAATTACTACCCACCCGTAATATGCGGTTAAAAAAAAAAAAAAAAAGCATCCCTACAGAGGAGCGCTTCATGTATCACCACTCAATGACATCACAAGGTGGAACTGTGTGTTTTCTGTTTAAGAGAAGAACTTAAACATGTGTGAATGAAACAAAACACAACAATACGTCTTGAATCGTGAATTTCTAAATGTTGCGTCTCGACCGAACTCGAGATATCGCTGAAAATAAAGTAAAAATGGAATCAAAACACATTTATCAAACTTGGAAAAAACATTTTATGAGTAACAAACACGTGCAAACACAGCTCATACACTTATGCGATACAAAAGAGCAAAGCTGTCGACGCCACTGAGGCACCTCCCCCCGTTCCATGTATGTACAACTATATTCAGAGCCCACCCATCTCCTCCTCCGATCACACAGGAATAAAGTGCAAGACAAAGGGTTTAAAGGTCTTATATTACGCAAAACTGACTCTTGGGAGCTTTAAGTCGTCATATAAAGCTTTTACTTCATCAAAAACAGAGCTGAAGTTGTGTTTTGTTTCATTCGCATGTTTGAGTAAAACTTTATGATTCATCTTTCTTCATCTCCAAAGCTCAAAAATGCTCTGTTCTACCTTGTGATGTCACGAAGCCGTAGTATTCAGGTTAAATGTGCACTACTAGTACACAACGTTTTGGTTAGTGCTCCATCACCTGCTTGTTTCTATGGATATGTCATTGCTCCACCTGGAATGTTCCACAGTATGACATTAAACGAGGGGTGGGCAAACTATGGCCATATGCGGCCCTTTAATCTTTTCAATCCGGCCCACCAAACTTGAGTAATAATAATTTTCAGTGTTTTAAACGTCATTTCAATAAATAGTAAATACCATGAGACTTGAAAGACAGATATTTTGTTGTAATTCTTTGTAATGATTTTCAGTTATGGGGTATTTTTTCTCTTAGGAGGTGGATTACAAAAAAACCTCCATCCATCTGCTCCTGGTTTGGCCCTTCCGTCAAATTTTAGAACCCTTTGTGGCCCACGTGTCAAAAAGTTTGCCCACCCCTACATTAAATTTTACTTTGATCTATACTTCTCCAGCGTCACCTAAACTACCGCTCTTCTCCTGCAATGACGCCCTCTGCTGGACACTATTACACCCTACAGCTCTGCAAACTAATTTTATAGACACTCCACTGTGAATAGTGAAGGAAGAAGCCACCTCGTGCCTCCGCTCAATTTCATTTCTCTCCAGCGACTAGGTCGTGAATCGGAATACCGTATTTTCCGGGCTGTTAGACGCTCTGGATTATAAGACGCACTGTCATTAAATGGTCTATTTTCAAACTTTTTTCACAAATAAACCACACCGGACTTGAACAAAACACAACAGTTAGATGGGTCAGTGGGACTTTGTTTGGCGCGTTCACGGTGACTCTGGGCTTTGTTCAGTTGTGGCGTGTAGGGGGGGTGCTGTCTGGATTGTCGGCGTGTTCGCAGTGACTCAGTTGTTCAGTTGTGTCTAGAAGTGGCACATTGAACTCAGTTTTTCGGTTCGTTCCTTCGTTCCGTTCCTCGTCCGCATGGAGTGATGAGTGTGTCTGTGGGTGTTTTTCGCTGTACGGCCGCTGTCTGCTCCGTGTGTGTTTGCGTGCTGCAGGTGGTGCGGCTTTGTAGTTTACTGAAGTCGTGCTGGGACACCCGAGTGGATTCGTGTATGGGGCGCTCTGGATTGCGGGGCGCACAGCCACTGTTTGATGCGGTTAGAGGCTTAAGAGCGCGTCTAATAACCCGGAAAATACGGTATACTAGACGGTTCGCAAAAACCCTGGAAGTGCGAGTTCGGGCACCAACCAATCAGCGAAGAGTCAGACATTCTGTGTTGGCAACGATTCCCGAGATCGAGGATTTAAAGCCGGAACAAAGAGAATGTTTGGTGAATTTTATCAAGGGGAAAGATGTTATTGCCCTTCTTCCTACAGGATTTGGGAAAAGCTTAATATACCAGTTTGCCCCGTTAGCGGCACATTACATACATCATGACCAAATAGTGGCGATTGGTTAAATAAAAAAACTACCCGTCTACTGTCGAGCGAACGAATTCTAACACTGTGAGTTCAGACGGTTTCTACAAAGTGAAACCGGTTGATGAATCAGGCTAGAAGAAGTACACAGTTTTGTTAAATTTTTGTATATATCGGAGCAAAAAATACTTATGTAAAAGTATCACATGAGAACCCACTTAAATACTTAAAGGTGCACTCTGTAACTTTTCAATTGGGGGTCCGTCACCTGCTTGTTTCTATGGAGATGTCATTGCTCTGCCTGGAATCTCCCACAATATGACATTAAACAGCTTTACTTTACATTTATTCAATTACAGGTGGTTTTATAGCTCAAAAAAACAGATATTCTGAGTGAACGTGGTCGCCTCTCCGCAGATCTGACCTGCAACTTGGACTAGTTTGGTCTAGAAAGGTTTAATGCCACACTGTGAAACATTCCAAAGCAAAAACATGCCCACGAGGAAAAGTAGAGAGCAGAGATTGGCGATTACAGAGCTGAAATTACCCTAATGATTCTAGTGAAGGTGTTTGGGAGCAGTTCCTGTATCACCACGTGACATCACAAGGTGGAAAAGAGTTTTTTGTGTGTTAAACATGCGTGAATGAAACAAAACACAACTCCAGGTTTGTTTTTGAAGAGGAAACATCATAACACAGATCAGAAAACGGCGTAATACAGACTTTTTAAACTATAAAGAAATGTCATTCTTTACAAAATCCTTGGACAGTAACACGGACAAATTTTACACCGGGAGATTGTGCAAACACTACAAGAATATCTCTCTATGAATTTGGTATTTGCAGCAGAATTACAATATTGTGCAAAATGGCGGCTACATTCATCGAAAAGGGTTAAGAAGGTTTTTCATCGGAACAGTCAAGGAAAACATACAACAAACGCTAATTACAATACTCTCGGTTTGAAACGAAAACGATGAAAGATGTGGATTTGGGACGGCGACTGCAGCATTGTGTGTGGTTCAGTTTTATGCTGTGAAGATCTTCCTTATTTGTAATCAACGGTGGATGAAGTACTCAGTTTTGTTACTTAAGTAAAAGTACAGATACAGGAGCAAAAAAAAAAAATTCTCAAGTAAAAGTCAAAACATCACATGAACAAATCTGCTTAAGTAAAAGGTATTTTGATACAGATTTTGAAACATTTCTGCGTAATTTTGTTCAACAGAAACAGTTTTTTCTGGCTGTTTTTATTTGTATATGTTTGTTTGAAAAAAATAAACCCTCAGCCTTTTCAACAGGTCTCAAATGATAATTAAAATACTTTTACTTTACAGTCCTGTTCAAAAATGTAGTGGAGCAGAAAGTGCAAATACCTGCTCTCAAATGTAATGAAGTAAAAGTAAAAAATATCCACTTTAAAACCTAATTAAGTGAAGTTTGGATACTACGGAAGCCGAGAGGGGTCACAACAAATGCAAATGCCGCAACAAATACAAATGCGACAACACAACAAAAAGCCACACCACAACAAAAAAAGCCACAATGGAAATGACCGTGGGACTCTATTTTAATGCAAACACTGCAACAAATACAAACGCCACAACACAAACGCCGCAACATATTAAAAAGCCACAACACATCAAAAAGCCGCAACAGAAGTGACCGCCGGACTCTATTTTCCGACGGACCGACCAAGCAGCAAGTGAAGAAGAAGAACTACAACATGTGAAAAGTACAGGAACGGAGAAGTTGGAAACGTAAGTAAAAGTAATTTATTGTTTTATCATTATTCGTTTCATGTTGTAGTTCTTCTTCTTCACTTGCTGCTTGATCGGTCCGTTGGAAAATAGAGTCCCGCCATCACTTCCGTTGTGGCTTTTTGATGTGTTGTGGCTTTTTAATGTGTTGTGGCTTTTTTGGTTTGTTGTGGCTTTTTTAAATGTGTTGGGGCATTTGCGTTTGTGTTGTGGCGTTTGTTGCGGCATTTCCATTAAAATAGAGTATCGCGGTCATTTCCGTTGTGGCTTTTTTTGGTGTGTTGTGGCTTTTTTTGGTTTGTTGTGGCTTTTTAATGTGTTGTGGCTTTTTAATGTGTTGCGGCATTTGCGTTTGTGTTGTGGCATTTGTATTTGTTGCGGCGTTTGCATTAAAATAGAGTCCCGCGGTCATTTCCGTTGTGGCTTTTTTTGGTGTCTTGTGGCTTTTTGTTGTGTTGTCGCATTTGTATTTGTTGCGGCGTTTGCGTTTGTTGTGACCCCTCTCGGCTTCCGTAGGATACCTATAATTTATACTTAAGTACAGTACTTTACTACTTTTACTTTGTTATGTTCCACCACTGTTTGTAATAGATAAACCTGCTGATTTGAGTTTGTGTTAGAAATTGTGAAGCAAAATTTCAGACAAATACAAACTGGTCAACAGAAAATAGACAACAAAAAAATCATAAAAGTTAAATCCAATAATGTTTTTAGTTTGGTTAAAAATGTAGTGGAGTAGAAAGTACAAATATCTGCTCTGAAATGTCTTGAAATAAAAATAAAAAATAAAAAAATGTACTTTTGTGTACTTTTACGTGGTACACTGGTTAAGAATATTGTTACTTTCACAAGTCAGAGGTTTCATGCATTCAAGAATTCAAAATTTCACATCAATATTTCTGGATGGTCAACAATTTTTAAATGACATAAACAGAAAATGCTCAAAAATAAAACCTGATATTTTTACTATTAAAGGTCCCATATTACACAAAATTGACTCATGTCAGTAGGGCTGGTATCATTCAGAAGCTGCTGATACGATACATACCTCGATACAGTGAGCTTTCGATTCGATTCGATACAATATATTTCAAATCAATTCGGTGTGGTTCAATAAAAAATAAAGGCTAAATCATGGCCATGATACCAATAGTCTTTATTAAACCACTTCTTGTGCAAAGTTTATATGAAACACAAACATTTTAATCATCAAAACAATGAAAATGTCAAATGTGTCGCATAAACTTCCTATGAACAAGCGACAAAACTGTAGCTAGTCTGTTGCCACCTAGTGCCTTCACTCAATTTTATTTCTCTCTAGCAACTAGGTCAGGAATGGGAACACACTAGACGGTTTGTAAAAACCCTGGAAGTTGTAGACCACACACCGACCAATCAGTGAAAAGCTGTAAAGCCATGACGTCAAACTCAAGCGCCTGTCTGGGTCCCTTTTGTGGTACAGCACAACAGTAAACAAACCAAACTCTTCTTCTGCAATGACGCCCTCTGCTGGCCACTATGACACACTACAGCCCTGCAAACCAATTTTACAGATACTCCATTGTGAATAGTGATGGAAGAAGTATAGCCAGGCTGGTGTCACCTAGTGTATCCGCTCAATTTCATTCTCTCCAGCGACTAGATCAGGAATCAGAATACACTAGAAGGTTCGCAAAAAACCTGGAAGTGCGAGTTCGGGCACCATCCAATCATTGAAGAGCCATATATTCAGTGTTGGCGATGATTCCCGAGATCGAGGATTTAAAGCCGGAACAAAGAGAATGTTTGGTGAATTTTATCAACGGGAAAGACGTTATTGCCCTTCTTCCTACGGGATTTAGTGCATTACATACGTGAAGACCAAATAGCAGCGATTGGTTAGATAAAAAAAGTACCAACCTACTGTCGAGCGAACGATTCCTAACGCTGCGAGCTCAGACTGATGAATCAGGCTAACAAAACTGTAGCATTTTAACAAAATAATTTAGTAAAAATTCTCTTAGCGATGTATCGATACAGCAGCCCACGGTATCAATACTGTATCATCACATTAAACAATACGATATATCGATATTTCAATATTTTTGCACACCCCTACTTATAAGCTTTTAGCCATGTTATAGTGTTTCCTCATCAAAACATACCTGGAATTGTGTGTTGTTTCATTTACAAGCGTTTGAGTAACTCTTTATTATTAGTCTGTCTACATCTCCAAACCTCAAAATGCTCTGTTCCACCTTGTGATGTCATGAAGCAGTAATTTTAATGTTAACAGCTCCTTTTTACCTTTAGTTCAGTAGAGATCGGCAAATCCAGGGCTGAAATTATCCAAATTATTCTAGTGAAGTTGTGTGGAGTTTAAAGACACACTGGAGCACTTCCTGTATCGCCAAATGAAACAAAACACAACTCCAGGTCTGTTTGTGACGAGGAAACAACATTAAAACACAGATCAGAAAACAGTGTAATATGGGCCCTTTAATTGTGATTCCTGGTTTAACTCAATACTGCTGTCTGCTTAGAACTGCGCAGGTAAATAATGTCACACTTTCTCCATTTTGAGACTAATAAAGAAAAAAAAACAAAACATATATTGTGTACAGACTGAAGAAATGTTGTAATTCTGTACTGTTTTTTTTTTTTTTTTTTTAAATCACCGAAATATTCCCAACCAGGTCAGTTTCATCTCAGGACAACCTTTCGGATTATTGTAAACCTGTAACAATACAAAGTTTTCAAAATTCTGTGCTTGTCTTATGTTGTTTGTGTTAATTATGTAATGAATATATGTGAGATTTCCTTTTGTTTAAACCCACGGGTGCAGTATGTACCAGAGCAGCTCTAAGTGCCCTGGTGATCTCATGGAAACAGTGAATGGCACCGGCACCTCTGGCTCTGAGCTGTTGGAATGAGACACACACCAGACCCTCCAGACCACACACAACGGAACACAAAAAAACACAAAGAAACACAAAGAAACACAAAGAAACACAGGGCTCGTATACAAAGGGAAAAGAATATTATAAAGAAAGTACTAAATGGTTTTGTACACATTTTTAGACTTTAACTTTCGAAATTTGGTTATGGCCAATGAAGAAATTCCTAAAATAAAAATGAAATGTGTTAAACTTGTAAACAACATTTGGAAAATATATTGTGTTTTCTCGTTTTATGCACTGTTTTGGCATTAAAAACCATTTCGTTGCATATATTTTTTGCTACCGACGAGATAAAAATAAGGGGCTAGAGAGCAGAGGTGGGGACTTGGACTCGAGTCAGACTTGAGTCACTATTTTTAGGACTTGAGACTTGACTTGATAAAATGGACTAAGACTTCGGACTCGACTTGGATTTGAAGGTCAGTGACTTGAGAAGCACTTTTAAATCTGAATTCTTTCTGTTCTGACCATAATGATTCACACTAAGATCTTGTCAGGACATTTAAAAAGGAAAAAATAACAACAACTTTTATATAAATACTCACGATTTTTTACACTATGATTTTTTTTAAGTACAATTTAGCTTAAAACTAATATAAATTGCGAAAAACCCAAGCTAAATTTGGTTTAAAGACTTGAAATGACTTGAAGCTCAAAGCAGATGACTTGGGACTTGACTCGGACTTGGGGCCTGTGACTTGAGAAGCACTTTTAAATCTGAATTATTTCTGTTCTGACCATAATGATTCACACTAACATCTTGTCAAAACATTTAAAAAGGAAAAAAATAACTAAATTAATTTCTACAACTTTTTTATAAATACTCATGATTTTTTTCTTTATGATTTTTTAAGTACAATTTAGCTTAAAACTTATATAAATTGCTAAAAACCTAAGCTAAATTTGGTATAAAGACTTGAAATGACTTGAAGCTCAAAGCACTTGGACTTGACTTGGACTTACGGGCCAGTGACTCGAGACTCGACTTGGACTTGGCTGCATTTGACTTGGGACTTGACTCGGACTTGAGGTCAAAGACTTGAAGCTTGCAAAACAAACAAAGACTCGGTCCCACCTCTGCTATAGAGAGACCGTCGCCATGGTAACCTATAGTAAATAATGGAGAATTTTACTCGACAAACTAAGTGATACTTTGCAGTGGCATCGTGCTGGGGGTGTTCTACGTGTACCTCTATGGAAAAATTAGAAAACACTGACAAATTTTTTAGATCGAGGGTCATCAAACTAAGGCCCGTGGGCCAACTCCGGCCCTCCACGCCCCTTTGACCGGCCCCCCACCACTTGAACTGGCCCTATGAAGCAATCCTCAAAACTTGTCATGGCGTTTTTTATTACTTTTTGACAAATAATAACACATCTGCATCTTGTATTTTGTAGATTTTTTCCAATTAAAACATTATATTTAAATGAAGTATTTATATTTAGATAATTATATGACATATTTACATTAGAATTTTCGTCACCTGACAAGCTTGAGACCAGTGACAGTCGACGCACGCGCAGACTTCTGTAGTGCAGTTAAAGTCAGCAGATGTTTGAAATATTGTGACAGCTCTTGATAGTATCTTTCTCACCATAATTGTGCTAAAATCGAGCTCAGATTAAAGTCTAATAGATCTTCAGACAGAGCAGCGCAGTGAAAATATCATATCGAAGGATTTGGATATCATTACATCCAAAGTATCGAAAGGTAAATCTGGCCCTTGCCGCCAATTCTCATGTTGGAGAGTCTGAAAACCACCAATTTATTTCACGCTACAATATTTACTGCGGTATGTAAGAGAGGATAACAGAATTGTAGTTTTTAAAATACCTTGACATGACATTGGTGCGAATCATTACTGTCATTATCCCAAGAATTAAAGCAATAAAAACATATTTTTTCAACTTGTCTGCACTGAAATGAATCATGGTTGTGTAGTTTCACATATTTTTTGGCTGTTGCTACTATAAAACTTGCCAAACATGTGAAACTCAGGCCCAGGGGTCAAATTTGACCCACGATATAATTATATTTGGCCCTTGAGATGATATCAAATATATATTAGAGCTGGACCACTGGCTACAGATAGACTGTAGAGAGATTATTTATTTAAAATGTTGTTATTATTTTATATTTTGCTTGTTCTGGATTCAAGCAAAAAGTATTATTAAACATTTATTTGTTAAGAAAAGGTTTAACATTTCATATCTCGAAAGAAGAGGAAATATGCAGATGTTGTTGAAATTTGTCAATAAATATTTAGTCTGGCCCATGAATTTGTCCCAGTTTTTAATTTTGGCCTGTGTGAATTTGTGAGTTTGACGCCCCCGATTTAAGCAAAGGAACTTGTACTTCGACATATTGTGACAGCTCTTGATATTATTTTAAGACTTTCGACGATACAATATCACAATATTTCGGTTATTGTTACATCCGTGGTTCTACATGTACCTCTATGGTGTAATGTTCAGTAGTGACCTGTTGTAGTCCGAGCTACGTCCGCTCTTTCTCGTGATAATTGTGCTAAAATTGAGCTCAAATTAAAGTCTAACAGATCTTCAGACAGCAGTGCAGTGAAAATATGACATCGAGGGATTTGAGTATCGTTACATCCCAAGTATCGATAGGGAAATTTGAGAATCTGAAAACTACCAATTTATTTCTACGATATTTATTGCGATATTTTGGAGAGGCTAAAAGAATTGTAGTTAGGATAGTTTTCGCTTTTAAAATACCTTGACAAAACACTGATGTGAATCATTACTGTCATTATTCCAAGAATTAAAGCAATAAAAACATTTTTTCATGTTGTCTGCAATGAAATGAATGATGGGATATGTAGTTCCCCATGTTTTTTAGCTGTTACTACTACAGTATAATACTATGCATTTAAGCAACATTTAACTTGTAATTTGACATATTGTGACAGCTCTTGATATTATTTTGCGACTTTCGACGATACGATATCACGATATTTCGATTATTGTTACATCCATGGTTCTACATGTATCTCTATGGTGGAATGTTCAGTAGTGACCTGTTGTAGTCTGAGCTACGTCCGCTCTTTCTTGTCATAATTGTGCTAAAATTGAGCTCAAATTAAAGTCTAACAGATCTTCAGACAGCAGTGCAGTGAAAATATGACATCAAGGGATTTGAATATCGTTACATCCCAAGTATCGAAAGGGAAATTTCCGATTCTTAAATTCTCACATTTGAGAATCTGAAAACTACCAATTTATTTCTACGATATTCATTGCAATATTTCGGAGAGGCTAAAAGAATTGTAAATAGGATAGTTTTTGCTTTTAAAATACTTGACAAGACACTGAATTAGACAAGAATAAAAGCAATAAAAAAACATATTTTTTCATGTTGTCTGCAATGAAATGAATCATGGGATATGTAGTTCCCCATGTTTTTTAGCTGTTACTACTATAATACTAAGCATTTAACCAAAGAAACTTGTAATTCGACATATTGTGACAGCTCTTGATATTATTTTAAGACTTTCGACGATACAATATCACAATATTTCGGTTATTGTTACATCCGTGGTTCTACATGTACCTCTATGGTGGAATGTTCAGTAGTGACCTGTTGTAGTCCGAGCTACGTCCGCTCTTTCTCGTAATAATTGTGCTAAAATTGAGCTCAAAATAAAGTCTAACACATCTTCAGACAGAGCAGTGCCTACAGTTAGTCTCACACCCCCAGAAAATGTTTTTTTTTTATGTAGAACAACAACACCACCAACAACTACAGAACCCCCCTTCTCTCTAGCCCTTATTATTTATCCCTGGTTGCAACTTCTGGATCTGGGTCAATTTACGAAATCGAAATTTGGGTTAAATCTTTCTCTTACATAATTTCCTCGACACCAGTTTCGATCTCATGCCGTTGTAAAGTCAACAAACTAAACTCCCATTTGAGTAATACAGACGCATGCTCAAACATGACACTGGCATGGCAACAAGAAGGTACATCGTCACTCCGGTTAAGTTTGTCTATTAATCATGGAGGGTTTGTGTAAATAGAATACGGAGTACATTTGTTTTGCATGCTCTACTGGACAGCCACAACTTCCACTTATGACCAAGAGGTGGCAGTGATGCGTCATAGCTAGTGCCAAATAACTACCAGACAAGAGGGCTGCTTAAATTCTGCTCCAACCTGAACATTGTAAACATATTTCTTTCTAAAAAATATTCCACGCCCTCAAAAATTCCCTTAAAGCATTGTGTCCCCCTTTGAAAAGCCGTCTGAAGTGAAGTTTTTGTGCTGTAAAGTCTAGGCAGTCCGTACACTGTTTAATTAAGTCGTAACGCGCTTCTCTCTTCTCGATAATATTTAGACTGGCTGGCCTTTAAGAACAGTGCGTTGCTCAAGGGAACAAACAAGAGCAGTCTTAGCAACAGTGTCCACGCATCTGGTTTGTGTAGCGCCGCAGAAGGACGACGACCGGAGAAGGGTTGGCGGGGGGGGGGGGGGGCTGTTACTAAAAGAGCAGCTTCGGTAGGGCAGTGGGCGACATCACTTCGAATCTGATTGTCAACAATGAGGGGACGGGGCAAAAAGTCAAACTCGGAAGAGAGCGTAAAATGTCTTCTTGTGATGTGAAATGCCAAAACGAAAATGCTTAAAAATGCTTCGAGAAAACCGCTGGTGGCAGTTCGCGCGCAAACACGAGGTTGTATTCATGCTGTGATGTTGTCTCCGCCGCGTTTTCGTTGTTATGGAAATGATCTGAACTTTCCGGTTTAAGTTTCAGCTGGTGGAAAGGCGAGGAGCTCCGAAAACATTCTCCAAAACGTTGAGAGCGATGGAGGATGGGTAACCGAATTGTTGCGACATGTCCACAAATGACAGACCTGCATGTTTTGAGTTAGTAACAGGGATTCTTGTGCTCCTTTTTTTTCAGTCTTCCTTCGTAAAGTCCACAGGAGCACCGTTGCGTTTGGTTGGCTCAGGTTTTGACCCCTTCGCACTCCTGCTCGGTCAGGTCCACGTCAGACATGTCAACTCCCACCATCAGAGACGAGTCGGACCCGCTGCTCAGGGCTGGCTGGTGCTCACCTGAGAGACAGAAAGACACAAAAAGACGCCGTTTTAATACTTTGACATCAACTCGACGGAACTTTATCTCTTTAGAGCACTTTAAAAACAACACGGTCGACCAAAGTGCTATACACAAATTAGATCAGTGGCAAATAAAATGACAGATAAATACTGCCCGTTAAAAGCAAAAGACCTGAACCCGAGTGTGAAGCTGAGAAAAAGGACTTCAAAATGTCTGTTTTGTCCAGACGAAAGTATAAAATTTGACAACCAGCTGCTATAATGAAAAAATATTGAGCTCAAAATTGACTCTTATTTGTCAGTTCCTGTTCTCTACTTTTGTATCATGACGCAAAAATAAATAGTCGTGCAAAGGCAAAAGGTAGAAACTCTAACATTATCATTATTTGCTTGATTTTCACCAGACTTCCATCCATTATAAAAACACCTCACCAAGGTCGAGTCATCATGGAGTTTGAAATGATATAGAAGATCCAAACTTTGTAAGTTGTCCATTAAGACATGCCGGAAATTAATAAAGGCATGTTATTTTAACCAGTGAGTACCTTGGGTTTTTTGCATTTTTTACTGACTTCCCTTCCCAAAGAGAACCACTGAGTTGGATCTACTGCGTATTATCGTCTGGAGGTCCAGGAAGCGCTTATTTTGAAACCTTTTTGATATAGAAGATCTTTGGGTTATCTGTTTTGTGCTGATCAGGATCATGCGGCGACATTTACACAGTTAAACAGTTTGACAGACGAGTGACTTTGCAGTAAAGTGTGTACAGTATGAATAAATATACAAAATATTTTTACATTAAAGATAACTTAAGTATAACTGATTACAAAGGTTTATTTATTTAATGTGTTCAGACTCTGTGCCAAGGCCGCAACAAAACATACACTGTTACTGCCTTTAGGCTTTTGGCTTTTGCCTTTGCACGACTCATTATTTTTGGCTCATGATACAAAGGTAGAGAACAGGAACTGACAAATCAGTCTCAAAGGTCAATTTTGAGCTCAATATTTTTCGCATACAAATATTTCTTTCATTATAGCAGCTGGTTGTCAAATTTTATACTGTTGTCTGGGCAAAACAGAAACTTTGAAGTCATTTTTCTCAGTTTCACACTCTGGTGAGTTCAGGTCTTTTGCCTTTGTAGGGCAGTATTTATCTGTCACTTTATTTCAATGAAGTCGATTCTGAGCTCAATATTTTTCATGATATTTATTCACATGATAAACGAGAGTCTCAAATACCCCCAAAATGACATGAACTCATTTTTGACATGATGTTATGGCTTCTGCTTTTGTAGGGCAGAATAGCCAACCATCAAAATGAGTTAAAAGCCAAGGAGAAAAAAGTGAGTGTTTAGGAGGGACTTAAAAACAGGCAGTGAGTCAGTCAGAACGAAAAGACAAGAATTAAAGCAATTAACATGATCAATACGAGGCGAGGTGTTTGATTTTCAACAAAAAAGGTGAAAAACAAAAAAATGTCGTGTGTGAGCCTTGTTTAACAGCACAAACCATCTCACCTGTTGTAGTTCTTTCCGGTGAGATTGTGTTAAAATAAAATTCAGATTAAAGTCTAAAAAGATGGAGCAATGCTTAAGTTAGCATCACATCCCCAGGGAATAGATGAAATCAGCTGCAAAGTATCAATAGGTTATAGATCCTCAAACACACTCCCAGCTTCACAACGAAAGAATTTATTACCTGGTCCCCGAAGGGTTGACCAGGTTTTGTATTCACCCTGTGTGTGTCTGTGTGTCTGTCCACCCGCGATAATTCTGCCATTTGTGGATTGATTGTCACCAAATTTGGTAGGTGGGTCAAGCCCCCGTGCCTGATGCCGCAAAAAAAGTTTGGTGACGATCCGAGGTCATTTGAGGTCACATGGGTCAATTGAAAGAATAGGCAATTTCCGGCAATTTCTGAACCATCTGTGGGCTAAAATATTCACCCAATCATCGCACATGTTGGCACACACATAACTGGGGTACACTGGATTTTACAGGTTGAAATTGGTCAAGGTCACTTGAAGGTCAAGGTAATCAAGGTCAAATATGCATTTTTGGTCATAACTCATAAGGATCGAGCTCGGGCAACAGGAGTCTCTCAAAATCTCAGAAAAATTATTATCTATTTATAATTCTATGCATTTCTATCAAAGTCAAATATTAATAGTTTTCGAGATAATCACTAATTATAACAGTTCCTTTCTCTTTCAGTGCATATTTGAACTGGAATGAAAATAATTTCCATTTCTTCTTTTTGTGGTGATACACAACTCATGAAAAAAAAATTACATTTTGGTTCCACACTAGTGAACACAGACATTCTCCTGTGTGACTAATATCACACAAATGTTCATGGGCCTGTACAGATACACACATTACATTGTGGATATAACAATCATGTAATATGGGCTGAGCTCCTCATAAGCTGCTTCTGTGATGATGAACTGACCCCACCGATGCCTCATGGGGACCAGTTGATATCTCTGATTGCGCTTGTTAGTGTTTTTTTGTGTTTCAAAGTAGATTTTGGTACTAAAGGGGCTGTTACACCTTGACGATTTAGCCGTGGTCGTTTAGTAAGTCAGATAATTTGTAGGAAAGTTTTGTGTAAGTTATGAACACGCTGAAACGTGGGATTGTTTTTAATCACAGTAAAGCACTCTGTGTTACATTTTTGTATGAAAAGCGCTTTATAAATAAAGTTTGATTTGATTTATATCAAACTTACCTCCAACGCATTGACGTATGCTGGCGTATTTGACATGTTCCGACGACCACAAAATGTACTGAACGTGTTTCTAACTTATAGCTACTGTATAATGGCGTATTGGCAGCATGTAGGGGAATAGGTACGTAAGAATGGGGAAACCGTCAGTGCTCCTCCAGACTTGATGGTTCGGAGTTGTCTTTGGCATGACACTGATTAATGTTGCTACTGCGATGTCAAGTGCAGTTATGAATCATCGAGCGGCAGCCTTTTTATAGGCGACGACGCAAGATCATTGGCGATACGCTGCCGTGCGCTGTGCATACGTTAGACTGTCATTGAGCATAAGTTGGGGACGCTGGCAACACGCTAAGCATTATTTGGTATAAGTTATATATAAGTTATCAAAACGTCCTGTATAAGTTACTAATACATTATCAAACTCATTACAAATACAGTACATATACGCCCATAATGAAATAAAAAACATTGATAGTTCAGTGTATGCCAGCGTTTTAGGGAAATTCTGGTACGTCGGCAAATGCTGGCTAAATCGTCAAGGTGTGACAGGGCCATAAGGAATAGACTCGATGCCCAATACCGATAGTGATATCAAAATGACAATAGAATTTTCATTTTCAGCATTAAATAATAGTACTTTCTTTTATATTCCCATGTGTACATTAGTCGATGCACTGTTATATTTGTTCTGATTCAGCTCAAGATCAAGATTTCATTATTATCGGAGTGATCTGAACTACCTGTTTTAAGTTTCAGCTGGTGGAAAGGAGATGAGTTCCAAAAAAATTTTCTCGGAAATGTTGAGTGAAAGATGACGCAGCGAAGGATTTGGTAACTGAATTGTTGCGACATGTCCATAAATGTGTCACAGACCTGCATGTTTTGAGTTAGGAGCAGAGATTCTCGTGCTCTTTTTTCAGTCTCCCTTTGTAAAGTCCACAGGAGCAGTTGTGTTTAGTTGTCTCAGGTTTTGAGCCCATTCTAAAGCTATTCTGTATTATTAATAGCACAGAGAAGTGCAGTAAACAGCATCTTTGTAAGTAGAAGACAGTGTAGTCCATATAAATACTTTTAATCTTAACCAAATAAGTAAACAACAAAAGATCAGCTAAGACGTAACAAACAAATTAAATGACTAAAGGATTACAGGAAGATCAGCCAGCCTCAGTGTCAGTGACCTGCGTGAAGTTGGCCTCTCATCAAACGCACACCTACACACAAACTATGTCATTTGTGCTTCATTTGTGCTGCAAAAAATGTTGTTTGTGCTGCTTCAGTTTTGGAGATATTAACGATTCTTTTATAGGTCAAATTGGAGTCAGCCAGCACCAGGAAATGCTCTAAAATGCTCTAAAACGGCCCAAAATTGTGTCATTCGTTTGTGCTTTGTTTGTGCTGCAAAAAGTTTTGTTTGTGCGATTACGGTTCTTAAGATATTAGCAGTGTTGCCATAGTTACTTTGAAATAGTAATCTGACTACTGACTACTGATTACTTCTTTAAAAAGCAGCGGCTGATCACTTTGTCACCAGCCTGTCACTTTGTCGCCAGCACAGAGTGAACAACGAACCTTTATGTCGCCATCCTTAGCTGAAATAAAATCAAAATAATGTTTATATTTCCAGCTGCAAATGTCGTACTTCTCTCCCTCCATTGTTTACATCTGACTCGTGAGGAAACGCAGGAAACGTGTCACCAGAGACGATTTAAACGATCTTTGGGGTCACATAACCCACGTCGCCACAAAATAAAAATAAATAAATAACCTACTTCGCCCTGAAATGCAAAAATAGTACATTGATATTAGATAAGTAACTTACATCTGACTACTGGTTTGGAAATAGCACTGCGTTAGACGACTCGTTACTGAAAAAAGTAGTCAGACTACAGTAACGTGTTAGTGGCATTAGTGGATATTAGCACTTTTATTTTGATGCCATCAAGCCCCTCAAAATGTTAAATAGCGCTCAGAACAGGCAGAAAATTATACAAAACTTTGTATTTCGTTTGTGCTGTTACAATTTTCATTTGGCTAGTATATTTCTAAAATTACTAATTATTATTTTTGTGGAAATTATATCACGTAATTTCCGCTCTGATGACGGCAGCGGCTTTAGCAAAACTCTGCAAAACTAGTGAAAATAAACAATCTCAGGCTGTGGAAAAATCTGTATTGTTATATAAAATATGAATCAAAAGCAAGTTAATAAAGACTGATACATATTTTGCCACAACCTGAGATCGTTTATCACAAACAAAATACAAA